GGTATTACTGAAATAGATTTCTAAGCATGCCGAAACCAATACCATGATTAACGGGTTTCATGGTTCCTTCAAAACCACCCACACTACAGGTTTCACACTTAGTTAGCTGGTTATACTCAAAACATGATGAATTTAGAAGTTAATCAAGGAATTTAAGAGGCACGGTTCAGATATACAAACAATTCAAAACCTAAGAATTATGGAAATACCCTAACTATGGAGATACAGTTCGATTATGTCGGATGTAAAGAAGAACAACATAGGGTTCCATGCAGAAAAGCGATTGAAATTATCTATTATTAGTGAGAGCATAGAATCAATAGAAGAGGAAGAGGGATGGACTTACGCACAATCGAATCTCGCCGCTGCTGTTGATCTCGGGATGTATAGTTGGAGATTCGAGAATTTATTCAATTGAAGAAAAGGAGAACAAAATTCAAATGTCGCCGGTGATCCACTTCTCCCCAATTTGGACTCTGCATTTCGAGAGCAATCCATACGCACAATCAAATCTCTGAATCCATCTCGAAATTAGGTTAAAGAGAGTACCAGAAGAAGATCGAAAACAGTGTTTCTCCGTTCTTGGTCGACAGAGAAGACGACAGAGGCGGAATCCCTGGCTAGAGGAGCAGCACCAAAAGCTTCACACTGACTGCACGCCGGAGTTCAAGGTCACCGGAGAAGACGACTGAAGGCGGAAGCTCGGGCAAGAGAAGAGCTCTTGCTCGATAGAAGTCATTTTTCCAATCAATAAAAGTTCAATGTTTATTTTAGAGAAAAACATTTTTCGATAAAATTAAATTTGTGTTGTTTCAAAGAGAATAAGAAAATGTGGTTGGGCTCTCAACAGGGGTATAGAAACCGCTGGACTGGATTGCCACTAAAAGTAAAGAAAAGAAAGTCCAGATCGGTTATAGAAACCGGTGAAAGAGAATCCCTGCCTTTGGCCCATTCTCTTGTAGTGACCGAAGTGTCAGCAACGTAGGTGTTTATTGTGTCGCCATTAGTATCGATCAATTTGACATAGACCCAGATATGGAACAGAAGTAAAATTGGAAGAGAAAAAGATAGACGATGGGGAGAAGGAAAGAAGTGGGTAAATCCACCACAATGTGTATTCGAAGTTCGAACCATAAAACCAACAACCATCTTTAAAGAAAAGAGACTCAAGATAGGGTGAGTAATCTTAGCGCGAGTAATAATGAGTAATCAAATCTGAACCCTTCTTTTAAGTGACTGTAGATCTAAGGGTGGAGAATTAAAGGAATTTATTTTTCCTAGTTTTCTTAATTGGGTCATATATTCTTCATTCTAACTCGGATTTCAATTTTTTTTGCACAGATGGAACGAGTTCATTGTGCTCTACAAAATGATATTCATTTTCAATATTTTTTGAGAAAAAATTTCCATCCCTCTCGTTACCAACTCCATACCATATGGTATCTCCTTCGTTGTTTAGTCATTTTCGGAAATTTTTGCACAAAAGGAACGATTTAATCATGATCTATTAGATTTCAAAATTTTCCGGGGAAAAAAATTCCAAACCTCTCGTTACCAACTCCATACCATACTATACCACCCTGGTATGAGGTGGTATTTTTCATACCATATGGTATGTTGTTGTTTAATACCATATGGTATTGACTGGTATTAAATAACAACATATGGTATTGACTGGTATTTTTCATACTATATGGTATGCTGTTATTTAATACCAGTCAATACCATATGGTATTGACTGGTAATAACTGGCAAATTTTTTTTGTTCCAAAAAATATCAAAGTGAATATCATTTTGAAGAGCACAATTAATCTGATCTAACTGTGCAAAAAAAAAAAATTAAATTCCGAGTTAAAACGAGTGAGAAATCGTCCATTAAAGATTAAGGGAAAGAAAATTAATGATTTTTCCAGGAGAGAGAAGGAGGCGCTGATGTGGCAAATTCTTATTGGGTTATGCATGGGGTTACTCACCACAAGGTTACTCACCGGATCTGCTTCCAAGAAAAGAGGAATAAAATTGGATAATATCATAATCATAAAAATTACTCGTTCGATGTTGGACAAAAAAGCCCAACTGTAGGTGACTTCAAGATAATATCTCAGGGTAATACCTCAATAGCAATGCCTCAGAGTCATTCTCCTCATACTGGCGGCCCTTCAAACCCGTGGAGTAAACTGCTTCAACTGATGTCCTGTCTGCTGGAGACATCGAGAGAGCATTGAACATTTATTCTATGGTGGCCACATTATTGAGACCGCCCCGACTGTTAACTTTAGTCTATGGTGGCGACATGTCATGGTCTCTGAGACCTCCCCATTCCACATTCCCCAATGCGCCTGCTTACTTTGGAGAATCTGGATGTTTAGAAATAAAGTGACTTTTGAATTCTATCAACCTCATGTCCGTTCCCTAACCAGACAATTCTACAACCATGTCCTTGAAGTCTCCAACCTTCTCCCCCTGCTCCACCCCACAGATCTCTTCTCCCAATCCATCGAGCCACCATGTGGGTCCCTCCACCAGATGACTATTTGAAGATCAATTTCGACGCTACTGTTTGTGCCACAGGGTGTTCGTCTGGGCTTGTTGTTTAGGGTCAGACCGACATGTGGTGTTGGCATTCGGGTTGCGACATTAGGGAATAGTCAACCCCTACCTGGCAGAGCTCCTAGCCATTAGAGACGCTATCTCCATCGTTTCCTCAAGATCAATGACTCACGTGATAGTCAAAGGTGATTCCAAAGTGGTCGTCAATCACGTCCGGCAGGCGTCATAGAAGACTCGACTGGTGGTCCGGTGCTCCGCGCGTGTCGTCAGATCCTAGACTCCTTGTCAGTTTGTATAGAGTTTAGGGCGGTTCCTAAAGCTGCCAACAGTGCTGCCCATAGAGTGGCGCGTAAAACACAACTTTTGTCTCATCTAAATCGAGAATCTTTCAATTTTTTGGGGTGGCTTCATTAGATTTTTATTGTAAGGGATCATGGGTAGTTTTGTTTGTATAACTTTTGTCTTCTCTTGATATCACTCGTAAATAAATAAAAAAAGGTGACTTCAAAGTAGATGGTCAGCTATTTTACAATCCCACAATTATAGGTTTGTATAAATCATTTTGACTCAAAATCTCTCATCGGCGAATTTCATCGGAAACGATTAATTTCGGAAAAACCCCACGTTCAGATGGATTGTGGCAATATTTCTCACAAAAATGCCCTATCCAATCGATGCGAGGGTAATTTGGAATCTGTTGTGTAATTGAATTGGTACATACATGATACATTATGGGTATTTTCCAGTCTATCACTGATATGGTTTAACCTTCGGATGGCCTCTTTTGGGAAAGAAACATACTTTGTTGAGTGGCCTACCGTTGTTAATAGAACCAAGTTCCATTCACATCTTGAAAACTATTTTTCATAACCAGTAAACTAATATGAGCTACTTAATAATGAAGTCAAACATATGAATATGACAAAAAAATTCTACTTTCGTTCACCCATCTCCAATGGGCAATGGGGTTTCTCCCTTCATTTTCCCTATCCGCCTCTCGGGTCAACTCCTCACCAACGACAAGCAACGGCTGGTGACCCTGGCTGGCGGTGGTTTGGGCTCGAATAGCATGCAGCAGCGGGCGACATAGCAGCCACCATCGATTCTCTTTGTCGACAACCTGGGCATTGTTGCCGGGTGTGTGCCCACTACGTCAATCACGACGGGAAAAGAAAAGTACTGGGTGTCGGATGATCTGTTGTCGATTTGAAGTCATGGAATCTTCTTGTCTGGTCAGCGAGTTGGGGTCCAGAGGCAAAGTCTCTAGTTATGGGGTTCGGGGGAGCAAGGTTTAACGCTCCCAGTCCACGATAAGTATGAGCATGTATACGTTTGAGTTTTTCTGTTGGACGTGGTCAATTTGTAACCTTCTTATTTTTTATCAGATTGGATTAGGATTAAATTACTAAAGACGTAATATACATACTTCTCATACTCTTTTATAAAGCTTGTCCAATGTAGTGAAGCTATCCGTACGTGACAATATTCAAAGTAGGTTCTTCTTGTAATCCTAGGGAGTGAGATTAAGGATTTTGGAGAGTTTGGTCGGGTAATGTGGTGTCATTTAGGGATCAAGGGTTCTTCTGTTGATACTATACAGTGAACTGAAGTGACGTGAGATATGGTTGGAGGGTAGCTGTTTGGAGGCTGGCAAGTCCGATCGATCTTGAGTTCATCACGGTTTCCCAATTGTTTGTAATGGGATGGAATCGAACCATCAATCAAATGAGTGGTGATCGTGTGGTAGTCGTTGATTTGATCATTAAGTTTCTCGTCATAGAGTTCAAAGTGATTTTCTGCATGTAACTTAGTTGATCATGATTTGATTTATTAGTTTCCACATCTTATTAATTTATTTATTAGAGTCCTTATGTCGATGGGTTTCCATGGCAGTTCTTTATAATCATGGATTCTGAAGTTTTCTTTCTTCTGAATACGATTGTGATTGTTCATTTGTGTAGTATCGTTTTAATCAGCCACCGAATATAGTGGAAACATGAAACTGTCGTTCCTGCATTTTGAAAGAGTCCTCAATTTGTTTACGAGGAATTCTTCTAGTGAGGAGAGTTTGGAATTGACCCAAGCTGCATGCTTGAACGCGAGGAAGTTACCACAAACTAGCGGGATTAAATTAATAAACAGAATTCCTCAAATAACATAGTTCATAGTTTAATTTTTCAGACTATCCGAGTTTGTGGTATTAAAACTGCAATTATCACTTTATAGCAAACGATGAATTATTCAATGTCTCCTAATAGCTAAACATAGGAAAACAAAACAACATCAAAGCCGAAAATAGAAAAAAAATACAAAATTCTCATATCCTGGAAAAACCAACTAAACTGAAAATGCTAGAGGTAATGCACACTGCTTGGTTTATATATATATAGGGATCATAATCACCCACAAATACATACACATATATACATTGGGTTACATTGAGCACTAGTATGAGGAGGGCATTAGTTTTAGTTATATCTCTAGTGGTCTTCGCGGTAGTAAATCATGTTGCAGATGCAGCCCGTACAGATGGCCTCTGGCCTGTGAAGAAAACAGTGACAATTACCAATAGGCTTCCCAGCAAGGCACTATTGAGGGTACACTGTAGGTCAAAGAATGACGACCTTGGGATTAGGTATTTAAGATATGACGAGAGCTTTCATTTTAAGTTTAGGACAGATATATTTTTTAGAACCTTATTTTACTGTTCTTTTGAATGGCCAGGTAGTGGCAGAAAACATTGGTATGATATCTATAATGATTGGCTTGATCATTGCAAACATTGTAAATTCGTTGTCAAAAACTATGGGGTGTGTAAGTATAATAATCGGACTTATTTATATGACAAGTGTTTTTCATGGCAGAATGAGATAAGACATTGAAGTCCATATCTTCCTTCCCAATGAATAAGTTGGTATGCTTTAATTTGGCTCGAAGATGGTGTAATAATATTAGCTTTTGTTCTTTTATGATATGTATAATGAAAAAATGCAGCCTATTTTTCCTTTTGCTAATTAGTTATACATTTTTCTTCTATCATCTATTTTTTTTTTATAATGGCGTAACACTATTAGAATAATTAAAACGTAAGTAACCAAAAAACAAAAACACTGTTCCATACAAAAAAAGCGCTAACTACCGCTTAATCTAATTTCCGGATCACTGTTCATCCTATGATTTTTTATACTGCGATAGACCTATGTTATCTCACGTAGACGCGCGGGCGGCAAACCAAGTAATTAACCATGCTTAAATTATGTCTGCCCGTGGCCGAAGAAATAGGGTCCGGATCCTATCAGTAACCGACCTGTCAGTAACGGTCAGTAACCGATGATCCGGCCGTCCATCGCGCCATCTTCCCAGCCGTCAGATCAGACCACTTAAAATACACGCGGGGGCAAAAACGTAATCTCGTCTCTGACAATTTGAATTGCAGACGTGACAGCGACAACCGTCCCGCCTTCTCTCCTTCTTCCTCTCACCTTTCAAGCGACAGTTCCACTTCCCTCTCTGCTCTCAAACTCTCCATTCTTCCTCTCGATTCTCAATTCTCTCACCAAAATCGCAGCAAAAACTTCCAGAAAAAACTTCAAATCGAACGATTTTCGCAAAGGATTTCGAAGAATCATTCAACGATACACTGTTCTCGCTTCTTCGTCGAAAAACGAAGAGTTTCCAACTTCAACGAGGCTCAAAAATCGTTTTCGCACAAAATATCAAGGTAAAACCTCACTTCTTTCTTCGAAATCCAACAATAGAACAGTATCGCAGTCACTCTCCATGCGTTGCTGAACTGATGTAGAATCTGTTGTGTTTTGCTTCATTACCATATGGTAATGAGTGGTAAGTTATGATTGCATGTTGTAAAATAGCAAAAAACCATAAGTCCTGCTGTGTTTTAGTTTGTTACCATATGGTAATGTGTGGTAACCTATGGTTTCATGTTGTAAAATAGCAAAAAACCATAAGTCCTGCTGTGTTTTGCTTCTTTACCATATGGTAATGTGTGGTAACCTATGGTTTCATGTTGTAAAATAGCAAAAAACCATAAGTCCTGCTGTGTTTTGCTTCTTTACCATATGGTAATGAGTGGTAAACTATGGTTTCATGTTGTAAAATAGCAAAAAACCATAAGTCCTGCTGTGTTTTGCTTCTTTACCATATGGTAATGAGTGGTAAACTATGGTTTCATGTTGTAAAATAGCAAAAAACCATAAGTCCTGCTGTGTTTTGCTTCTTTACCATATGGTAATGAGTGGTAAACTATGGTTTCATGTTGTAAAATAGCAAAAAACCATAAGTCCTGCTGTGTTTTGCTTCGTTACCATATGGTAATGAGTGGTAAACTATGGTTTCATGTTGTAAAATAGCAAAAAACCATAAGTCCTGCTGTGTTTTGCTTCTTTACCATATGGTAATGTGTGGTAAACTATGGTTTCATGTTGTAAAATAGCAAAAAACCATAAGTCCTGCTGTGTTTTGCTTCGTTACCATATGGTAATGAGTGGTAAACTATGGTTTCATGTTGTAAAATAGCAAAAAACCATAAGTCCTGCTGTGTTTTGCTTCTTTACCATATGGTAATGAGTGGTAAACTATGGTTTCATGCTGTAAAAATGGATGAAAACATACATCCTGTTGTGTTTTACTTCGTTACCATATGGTAATATCTTATAAGACATGGTTTGATGTAATTACCATATGGTAAAATGAGATAAATATATGGTTTGATTTGGTATGGTAGGAAATCATTATGGTACCATATGGTATATCATGGTAAAAAGCACGCTAACAGACTATTCCTAATTTCTACATTCAGGTACACTATGGTAAACCAAAGAAAAACTTTTCGCACAAGGTGCAGCCCAACAAGAATATCTGCAATTGCGAGGACTATAAAAGATGAGCAGAAAGAGAAACTTGAGACATTAGGCCTAGCAGGCTTAATGTCAATCAAGCAGACAAAGATAAACAACCATTTTGCACTGTTCGTAATGAACAAATACAATCCAATGAACCAATCTTTCAAGCTACCTGATGGGACACGCATGAAGATATCACCAATTGACTTTCATAGGGTATATGGTCTGCCAATGGGGAATAGGGAAGTTGTACCTCCCACAATTTCTTGGGACGATGCAGCAGATTATGCAGTAGAAACCCTACTGGAAGTAGATGGAGCATCCACTCCAAGGGTAAAGCTAAGTCAGGTAGAAAAAGATCTTTCTACAGTTACCAACAGTAGGAGATGGTTACAATTATTCTTTCTGCTGGTCACCGGAGGCTTGTTGTGCCCAACTTCAGCCCCTATGGCTGAACTCAACATGCTTGAGTACTTGAAGACTGATGAACAGAAACATTTCACCAGCTACAACTGGTGCAAATACTTCTTCAACCACATGAATGAAGGATTGAAATCATCAAAGCGCTACGTCAATGCAGATCTTCACTTCCTTACAGTAAGTCTCCATTCCCTTGGCCATTTCAACCTTGTTACTCATATATTTTATATATAAATGATACTCTTTGAAAAAACTAATACAACTATCTGCATAAAAAGGTATGCTTCATGTACAAACTGGACGAAATGGCATTCTCAACCCAGCTTCGAACACCAACAGTAAGCTACTATGATGATAACAATGTTGATAGCAACTTTGAGAACATTAAGAGCTACTACAATGGAAAACAGTTGAACGAGATCGAAAAGATTACCAACATTAGAGACGATGAGGCTGATGATGAGGCTGATGATGAGGCTGATGACGCAGCTGATGTCGCAGCTGATGAGGAAGAGGAGAATGAGCCAGTCTATGAATCACCGAAAAGACAAAGAAACAAAAGTCCCGAGCAGTCATCATCACTGAACTTTGATTTGAAGAAAATCAGAACAGTCAACCAAGTAAGTACAAATTATCTATATACCAGTTGTCCAATACATGCTAAGCGTAAGTCCTGTGTTTTACTTTGTTACCATATGGTAAAGTGTGGTAAGCTATGGTTCCATGTTATAAAAATGGAGCAAAACATAAGTCCTGTTGTGGTTTACTTCGTTACCATATGGTAATGTGTGGTAAGCAATGGTTTCATGTCATAAAAATGGAGGAAACCATAATTCTTGTTCTGTCTTACTTTGTTACCATATGGTAATGTGTGGTAAGCTATGCTTTCATGTTTTAAAAATACAAAAAACAACAAGTCCTGCTGTGTTTTAGTTTGTTACCATATGGTAAAGTGTGGTAATCTACGGTTTCACGTTATAAAAATGGAGGAAAACATAAGTCCTGTTGTGTTTTAATACGTTACCATATGGTAATGTGTGGTAAGCAATGAATTCATGTTATAAAAATGGAGGAAACCATAATTCTTGTTCTGTTTTACTTTGTTACCATATGGTAAGGTGTGGTAAGATATAGTTTCATGTTATAAAAATGCAGAATAGTGATAATAATTACCAATACCATGTATTACCACCATGGTAACTAACCATACTCCCATTATGCAGGCTGAGAATGCAATCAAACTGGTTGAAGCATCAATGAAGGCAATGATGAAAGCAATCAAAGAGCAGTACAACAGCCAACTAGACAAGCTGATCAAACACAAAAAGAATCTTCAGAAAGAAAAGTCTGATGAATATGTTCAGCCCTCAGAAGGAGAAAAATCTGACAATCAGGTAGTAGAAAATGAAGATGATGAAGAAGAGAATGATGAAGAATTGAATGCCAGTTTGAATAAAACACTCAATCAAATATTCAAACAGGCAAAGATAGACCAGAACGAAGAGGAGAACGAGGAGCAAACACAAAAAGAAGATGATTCACAACCATCTACAGTCGATCTTGCTGCATCTACACCAAAGCCAAAAGAAAAGGAGCAAGATGATTCTGCTCCAGGAGCTGTGAATAGGGAAAGCATCCCAAAAGAAGGAGATCAATTGGGGGAAGTTGCAACAGAGGACACCCAGAAAGCAGTTCCAGAACAGACATCTGCAGAAGAAACCGAACAAAAAGGAGCTACCAAAACAGCAGATCCAATGGAAGTTGATAAGGAAACAAGAGAAGAAGGGAATACAGGGCAAGCTGCACAAAAGACTGCAGAAACTGACAGCGAGAAGACGGTGTCAGATGATGTTGTTCGTGAAGACGCTCCAAAACTGACAACCGAAGCTGCTGAGAAGCCTAAAGTGACGAGGGAAGACGACATTCCATCCTTTGATCTCAGCCCTCTCAACCGTCAAACACCAACAACACCAACAAAGTTGACTACCAACACAGCAACCGATCAACCAGCAGAGCCTCGCAAAAGAAGAATCGTGATAAAGAATGTACAAGGAAATGAAAAGAAGGCAAGAGCAACACCACCACCAGAACAGCCACAAAGCACCCAGTCACAGACGGGGTCATATGCTATATGGTCAAATCTGTACACAAACAGCCAAGAGAAGCTCAAGGAAGTCCGTGAATGCATAGATGCTTACCTAGAGGACCTGAATTCTCCAGCTGCCGACCCAGTTGCTCCACAGTCACAAAAATCACCAGTTGAATATTCAACACCAACACAAACAACACCTGATGATATGTTCAGCAACATCCTGGAGTACATAAGATGCAAAAACAAGAAATTTGCCAAGAGGTAAGACATCTTAAAACTTCTACTGTTATATGATGTTACTGTAGTGATCTAGTTTGTTACCATATGGTAAAATATGGTAAGATATGGTAAAATTAGACAAATCTATGGTTTAATGTTACAAAATGTAGTAATGCACAAGTCCTGTTTTGTTTTAGTTTAATACCATATGGTATGATGTGGTAAGCTAATGTTTGTTGTTAAAGAATGGATTAAACCATAACTCCTGTTCTATTTTACTTATTACCATATGGTAAGACGTGGTAAGCTGGTGTGTTTCACTTATTACCATATGGTAAAATGTGGTAAGCTGGTGTGTTTTACTTATTACCATATGGTAAGATGTGCTAAGCTATGGTTTTGTTGTGGTAACCTATTGTTTGATGTGATGAATTAAAGTAAACCATCCGTCCTGTTGTGATGTGCTTGTATACAGTGATGAGATCATGTTTAAAAGGAAGGATGGAACATTCATGCTGAAAAGGGAGTCAGTACAGTCGATTGACATTGGCTGTGAAATCACATCTGATGTCATCGGCTGGTATGGAGATGTAATGAACAGAAATGAAGCCAAAAAAGGAAAATTCACAAAGTGGTTCTTCGATACATCGTTGGCAGTAAGTAAACCCACCCATATTCTGTCAAAAGTTCTTAGACAACACATATATAAAACACATAATAACAACCACAACTTTCAGGGTGACTGCCAACTGGACATTGATAGTGGCAATCCTGTACTATCTCCAGACGATTACTACGACAAAGTGGACTTGGACATCACCAACAAAGAATGGGCCAAAAACCTCAGCTTCACAGAATGTAACCTTGTAAGTATCTCACCACAATTTTTGCAGTGGTTACCATATGGTATATAGTGGTAAAATTAGTTTGCAATTGTTCTTAACTTAACTTACTGTTCATCACTTATATGGCACCTGCTTACCATATGGTATACTGTGGTAAAATTATTTTGCAGTGGTTCTTCCCTTACTGTAATAATAAGCACTACATCATGATTTGTGTCAACATCAAAGCAGAGAGATTTGAAGTGCTCGACAGTCTCCGTCACAAAGATTTTGAAAAAACATACAAATCAATGGCAGAGAGAGTTGTCCAGTACGCAATCAACTACATGAAGACACAGTTTGCAGACAGGACAGTAAGGTGGGAGAGGTTTAGCTGGTTCAAGCTCGAGAAGGTTACACAACCAGATCAAATTTCATGTGGGATGTACGTCATCAGGTGGATGAGACACTGGGAAGGTAAGTACAACAGTGCCCTGACCAAAGATTGGAAGAGGATTGATCTCATAAATGAAGAAAGGGAGTGCCTGATGTTGGACATCATTCTTGATGAAGAAAATCTTGAACGGGAAAGGATCATGAAAGAAGCAACAAAGTACTGCAACATGAAGAACAAGAAGAAAGAGTTGAAAGGAAGGAAATGAAAATTCTATTATCATTTGTGTTAAGTAGTAGAAGGGTATGAGTAAGCTTTTGAGAACAAACTCACAATGTTCAGTAGCCACTTCATTTTAATTAGTAGAATGGTATGAAACAACTTATTATGGTTTGTATTATGACTAAAAGAAATGTTCTGTTTTTTATTATGTTAGCAAATACTTAACATGTGTTCTTAATTCCCAAATTACCACATTTTACCATATAGTAATGTGTGGTAAATTATGATTACATGTTGTGTTTTGTTCGTTACCATATGGTAATGTGTGGTAAATTATGGTTTCATGTTGTAAAATAGCAAAAAACCATAAGTCCTGCTGTCTTTTAGTTTGTTACCATATGGTAATGTATGGTAAATTATGGTTTCATGTTGTAAATAAGCAAAAAACCATAAGTCCTGCTGTGTTTTAGTTTGTTACCATATGGTAATGTGTGGTAAACTATGGTTTCATGTAGTAAAATGTTGCAAAAATAGCAAAAAACCATAAGTCATGCTGTGTTTTAGTTTGTTACCATATGGTAATGTGTGGTAAACTATGGTTTCATGTTGTAAAATAGCAAAAAAAACCATAACTCCTGCTGTGTTTTAGTTTGTTACCACATTTTACCACATGGTAATGCACTGTAAAATCAATTACCACACATACCACTTCCAAAAAATCATATTTTACCACATGGTAAAATCAATTACCACACATTACCACATGGTAAAATCAAATTACCATAATATACCATATGGTATGGCATGGTAAAATCAATTATAAAACAGAACCTTCACATTCAACTTCCAAACTAGCACATTTTACCACCTGGTTTGACATGATAAAATCAAATTACCACATTATACCACATGGTATAACAGTGTAAAATTAATCCAACAAAACCAAAAACCCATCCAAAAGAACAAAATAGCTTCAACAACTCAACCAGCATCAACCATTCATTCAGATAATCCTATAAGAAAACTATTACAGCTTCAGCCTTAAACTTTCTTCAACAGCCTTCAAATTCTCCTCCTCAAGCCTGCTAGTTTTTCTCTTCTTCTTGCTTACAGCCCTTGCAGCCTCCGCAGCTGGAATTGGTCGTTTCGAAGGCTTGAATGAATCTTTTTTAGGCTTAAACCCCTTCACTTTTTGGACCGGTACATCATCTATACCAAGATAACAAAAACAAACTACAATCAATGACAGATAACAAAAACAAAAACAAACTCTAAACAATTAAAAAAAACTTACTGTCACCGTTAGAAGATGTGCTTGTTCCAGCAGGTTCAGTAATCGATAGGGCTTCACACTTTTTGATCAAATCAGTCATGAAGGCCATGGCTGATTTATACAAATCATCATCCAATGCAACCCTGCTGATCATTGATGCAGAAACAGCTGACAGATTGAAAAGACGAGAACGGTATTTCGATGGACTATCAGTAGACGGAACTTCAAAAGAAAAGTTCCCTCCAGTTTTCGCTGCCCTTGTCCACCGCTTCAAAATCAAACTGCTAGGAATGTGCTGGAACTTCAGATTGCACGTTGTAGACCACAACATATCATATCCCTTAATTTGATGCTTACAGATCATACCACTTGACTCCCACTTACGGCACGAACACTTGATTTCACCGTTTTCAAAATCAACCTTCAACACCCTACTATCCAACCTTGTAAGGTCATCCTCCAATATGAAGACATCAAACAGTCCTACATGTCCTTCTGGTTCTATCTCCGTATTGGAAAAGATATTATACGCAAGGGATTCCTTGTACTGATCCAGGAAAAACTTGAATATCTTCGGCGTATACACATTAGCAACTTGCTTCACAATAGGGCTAGTAGAAAACCGAGAATCAGCCAACCTAGATAACGCATAGTACTCTTCTTGTTCTTCAGCATCCCTCTTATTATCAAGCATCCTCTCAAAGTGCACAAAGAACCTACTAACGCTAAACTCTGACTGCAAGTAATGTCGAATATTACTATTGCAGCACTCACTTAGCTGGGTACTCTTCATTCCCGCACCAAAATGACAATTCACCCAGGCTGAAGACCACTTCGTCCTGACTTTGTAAATGCCCTGTAACCAACTGTGTCCCAAAGGTCCCTTCCCAGGAAAACACTTCTCAATCATCTTCTTCCAATTATACTCAAAATCATCCTCATCATCAGCATTATACATCAAATAACTAAGCTCACGAAGGAAATCAGAGTCACACAAACTTCCCAGATTAACAACTGCATTCTGAGCAATATGCCATGTACACAACCCATGAAAACAATCTGGGAAAACAGACCTTATACCAGCAGCAATTGCAGCAGCCTGGTCAGTAAACATTGATAACGGTCTCACACCTCCCATGCATTTCAAAAACTGATCGAAAAGCCATTCAAATGTTGCTGTTGTTTCATCATAGAGAAGAGCAGCCGCAAAGACAGTCAGTTGGTGATGATTGTTGAAACCAACAAACAAAGCTACATAAACATAACAAAATGTGAGTAAAAACAATTCTACCAACACATACCATGTGGTAAAAGGTACGAATAACAATAATACCAACCCATACCATATGGTAAAGACTCATACCATGTGGTAAAGACTTCTAAGAACAAAAAAAAAAAATCCACACCAGACTACCATATAGTACACACTTCTAACAACGCAAAAAACACCACAAATAACCTTGTTACCAACCCATACCATATGGTAAAAGACTTTTAAGCACAAAAACCACCTCAAATAACCTTGTTACCAACACATACCATATGGTAAAGTACTTTTAAGAACAAAAACCACCTCAAATAACCTTGTTACCAACACATACCATATGGTAAAAGACTTTTAAGCACAAAAACCACCTCAAATAACCTTGTTACCAACACATACCATATGGTAAAATACATTTAAGAACAAAAAAAAAACATGATACAGAATGATAATAATAATACTCATACAAACTAACAAACACAATAATAAACAACAAACTAGAAAACATACCTAGTGGCCGATACTCTTTGTTAGTCCGGTAAGTAGTATCAAAACTAATTGAATCACCAAAATAATGATAATCCATCCTCATCTTCCCATCTGCCCAAAAGATACTAGCAATGTTCTCTTCAACATCAACCTCCACCTCATGAAAGAACCCAGGATCCAGCTGTGCTTGACGTCTAAAGTATTCAAGCAATGCAGTCGCATCACCATACTCCATTGATGACGTCCTAACCGTTCGCAGATGGTTCTTCAAATCATTCTTTGTGAACCCAACAAACTTCCGACCACCACCAGCCCTACTAATTGCATTATACGAAGAAGTCACACCAATACCAGCAGCATCATTCACCTCTGCCAGCATCTTATACACAGGAGCCATTCGTCTGCTGGATCTCACATAGTGACGCAGAGACTCAGGAATCATGTCATGGTTGTGCACATTATACCAACGATAGATCTTGTAGCATTTAAACTCTTTAAACCACCTCAGTCGTATATAAGCACCATTACATCCACCCCTGAGTTCTGGAACATTACGAACACGAACTGTCGTATCAACAACACCTGCATTATCAGGGTTATTCTCGCTACCTCTTTTCCAACCTTCCTTATTGCAACAATACTTGATATAATATACAGCTGAAGAACCACCATTGAGTTTCGGACACGCTGATTGGTTATAAATCCTCACACCAAAACCTTCATGATTCCCATAATCAACATAAAAATTATATGCATCATCTGGTGTATTGAACTCTAAGTCCTTCCAAGAATCACGAACAGTAGGATCTATACCATTGAAACCTACAAACATTATGAAACAACATATTAAATGGATTCCACACCACAACAGTATGAAAAATCAATGTATACCAATAATTACAGCCATAATACAAGAGTTACCACCATAGTATGGCATGGTAAAATCAATTATCACACAGAACCCACACATTTAACTTCCTAATTACCACATTTTACCACATGGTAATGTACTGTAAAATCAATTACCACATGATAAGGCATGGTAAAATCAAATTACCACCCTATACCATATGGTATGGCATGGTAAAATCAAACTACCACACTATACAACATGGTATGGCATGGTAAAATCAAATTACCACACTATACCATATGATATGGCATGGTAAAATCAACTATCACACAGAATCCTCAAGTTTAACTTCCTAATTACCACATTTTACCACATGGTAATCTACTGTAAAATCAATTACCACATGATAAGGCATGGTAAAATCAAATTACCACACTATACCATATGGTATGGCATGGTAAAATCAACTATCACACAGAATCCTCAAGTTTAACTTCCTAATTACCACATTTTACCACATGGTAATCTACTGTAAAATCAATTACCACATGATAAGGCATGGTAAAATCAAATTACCACACTATACCATATGGTATGGCATGGTAAAATCAATTATCACACAGAAACATCACATTTAACTTCCTAATTACCACATTTTACCACATGGTAATGTACTATAAAATCAATTACCACATGATAAGGCATAGTAAAATCAAATTACGACACTATACAAACTTCAATAAACAAACAAATTTGCATATCTTACCTCCTGATTCACCAGAGTTAGCTGAATGATCAAATCCAAGATCAATAGATGAAGAAGCAGTTCCAACAGCACTAGATGAAGAACCAGATCCTACAACGCTGGTTGAAGAACCAGATCTATCAATTGGAACAACATCGCCACAATTTACGTTACTCATCTCACCAGAATACTGCCAAAACACCAAAACACAAAGAACATAACACATGAACAAGCTCGATTAGCTAAACATAAACAAGCTCGACTAGCAGCAATCAAAAACCTCCAACGAAACCAGAGATCAACAGAAAACTCGATTAGCTAAACAGAAAGAATCAAAAAAACTAATATCTAACCTCGTCGTCGATCAATTATGGAGAATCAGAAAAGATTCGCCGTCCCCTGTTTCGCAGCCGCTGCTCGCAATTTCTCTCTACAAAAACCGAATCCAACTCGCGCACACGTCGATCAATTATGGAGAATCAGAAAGCTCGATTCAAAGCTGCTGCTCGCAGTTTCTATCGCCGTCGATCAACAATGGAGAATCGCCGTCCTTATTTCTCAGCTGCTGCTCCCCCTGCTCGTAGTTTCTCTCTCCAAAATCCGAATCCAACTCGCGCACAGAAAGATTTGCAACGGACAAAGAGGGAAAGTCATTTAATTCAAAAATAAAATGTCGGACAAAAATGCCCCTGACCGTGGACAAAAAACCCCGCATCAATCACAGCCACAAGATCCGTCCCGCCAAGATCGACGGTCCCTATGTGGTTACTCACGGGTGAGTAACAAAGGGTTACTCACCCTATCCTAAGCCGAAGAAATAGGCTTCAATTTCAGGCTCCCCATTTCCCACTCTCTGCTTCTCCTTCCAAGTTCCATCAATATTCCCTTTACGGGAGATTAGAACATCGGATCTCCTTCACTGATGCAAAGAAGAGAAGCAAAAAAGAGAAGCCTCTATAGAGCTATGATTTCCCTTCACTCTGCCAAATTTTCCATCTCATCAATTGCTTTAAAAAAAAGTCAATTGTTTTTTACATAATAGTTTAATCTAAATGGGTAAAGTTGATTGTTTTTTACACAATAGTTTAATCAAATGTATTATTTATAATAAGTTAATATTATTATTAGATCACATATTACAAAATATTTACATAACAAATTTCTATCAAAGTTACGTAAATTACATATACATTATGCTAAACTTATTTAGGGATAGTTATTTCTTTTGTATCAACTAAACAAAACGTGATACATCAATTCTTTTATAATGATTAAAATTATACATAAAGTTTATGAAGGGATAGTAATTTCTTATGTATCAATTAAAAAATAGATACATCAATTCTTTTATAATGATTAAAATTATACATAAAGTTTATGAAGGGATAGTAATTTCTTATGTATCAATTAAAAAATACATATTACGTAAGTTAGTCTTCTGTGATATCAATTTTAATGGGAAAAATTAATATTAATTAAATAATTGACCATCTCACTAATTTGCATTACACAAAATTTTTGTAAGGTTTACATAACAGTTTAATCAAACATGATAATTTTTATAACTTAATCTTTTATTATTAATTAAAATTTGGTTATTATTAACTACAATATTCATCATCTCATCAATTTGCATTACGCAAATGTTTCATAAGGTAAGTTCACTTTTACATGATAATTTAATCAGATGTAATACTTTTTATAACTTAATTATTATTATTGGACCACAAA